TACAGGTCATGTCAAGTTGATTGAATATCTTTAGTCAGATGTCTGTCATCTCCCAAGTACAGGTCATGTCAAGGTGATTGAAGATCTTTAGTCAGATGTCTGTCATCTCATCCGTTAAGGTCATATCAAGGTGATTGGAGATCTCTAGTCAGATGTCTGTCACCTCATCCGTTAAGGTCATGTCAAGGTGACTAAAGATCTTTAGTCAGATGTCTGTCATCTCCCAAGTACAGGTCATGTCAAGGTGACTAAAGATCTTTAATTAGACGCCGTCATCTCATCATTATGGGGTATGTCAATTTGACTGAAAATCTTCAGTCCGATATCCGTCATCTCAACAGTACGTGACATGTCAAAGTGATTGTCATTTCATTAGTACAGGAACTGAACTTCTTCGGCCACATGTCATTCATTACATAAGTACGCGACGTGTCATTATGAATGAACATTCACAGCCAAATTTCTGTCATCTTATCAGTACGGGGCGTGTCAAGGTTACTGAAGGTCCCCAGCCAAATCTGTTCTGCGCAGAAATCCTAAAAACATAGGCTCTGAAAATGAAATAAAAGAGTGAGTTTGGAATTAAATATGAATTATAAGAATCATTAAAAATAAACACAGTTATGCTAATAAAACTAAAAATCGATAAACTATTAAAATGATATTAAAAAACAGGACAACGTGAATATAAAGTGGAAACAATATGGGTTAAAAATTTAGAAACATGGAGCTAAAAATAAAATGTAGGTCATGTAGGGAAATTATGAAATAATATTTAAAACAATAAACATGTAGGTCTTGTAGGGAAATTATGAAATAATATTTAAAACAATAAACACGTAGGTCTTGTAGGGAAATTATGAAATAATATTTAAAACAATAAACATGTAGGTCTTGTAGGGAAATTATGAAATAATATTTAAAACAATAAACATGTAGGTCTTGTAGGGAAATTAGAAATAATATTTAAAACAATAAAAATGTAGGTCTTATAGGGAAATTATGAAATAATATTTAAAACAGTGGAAATTAATATTTCTCACGAAAAATAAATAATAAATTAAATGTTTTCCTTTAAGGCTTACTACAGTATCTGATATACGTTTTCTTGTAGTCCATGCACATCGTGGAAAGCGATCCGAGACAAACCGGATCAAAATATCCTCCCTGAATATGTGGTTTACTTACTTGTTTTCTTGTCGTCCATGCACATCGTGGAAAGCGATCCGAGACAAACCGGATCAAAATATCCTCCCTGAATATGTGGTTTACTTACTTTTTTTCTCGTAGTCCATGCACATCGTGGAAAGTGGTTCGTGATAAGCCCACTTCGTGCCACTGATTCGAATGAAGTACTCGAAATTCAATTTTGTACGCAAGAATAGGACTGCCACCGTCCACCAGAGGGCGAGACCAAGACAGCGTCACCCATGTAACTCCCTGTTTAAACACTTGAGGATCTAGAGGTCTTCCCGGAAGAGCTTATCGAAAAATTTAGAATTAGTTAATATTAGGTCAGTTTCTCAACATCAGAAGTTAAAAGTTACAATCAGCTTCTTATCATTGTGACGTGATCTGTCCAACCAACCGTATGAAAAGTAACTTCTACTAACTATTATAAAAGTATCCTTTCGAAATAACGAGAACAGTCATATTCAAGCGAGACTAAAAACCACCCCAATACTAATTTGTTAACGATATTGTGTCGTTGTTAACCTTCCTCAATCGTTGCAATTGACATGATGAAAATACAAAGCCACGTTCGTGTGAAAACGACTTCAAGTTTTTTTTAAAGAAACAAAAACATAAAAAGAAATGAAGGAAGCACTAGGGTTAGTGATATATTCAGTGAAATCTTCATCTTTTTTAAAAATTTCGCAAAAGCTACACATGGGTCCCTAACTTCGAACTGATAGACAGAGGGAAGACAGGTAGTCAAGAGCACCCACCGCCAACTCTTATCTAATAGAATATGGGATGTGATCTTTAATATTATAGTGCTCCCACAGCCCCAAAATTATGCAGTGTAGATTGTTTCTGCGCCATTGACTCGCGAAACATGAATCCTCAGATTCCATTCTGACCACTAGGCTAAGCCTGGCTTTTCGTTTTGGCACGTAATATAACTGGCAACAGTAAAGTGATTGATATCTCACAAACAGAAGATAAAAGTGCCCGTAAACTTAACGAATATCAGTGATCTTAATGACATGCCCCCTGGTACTTAAAACACCAAAATCTGGAGTTCGATTCCCCACTGTGGTAATAGCAGATAGCCCAATGTGGCTTTACTTTTAAACAAATAAACTTTAATGAACATATAGAGAACAAAACAAGAACACAGTTCTTAAATGATGTGAGTGAAACAAATAAAACTGAAGACACAATTTTTTTTTAATTCCGGTTGTTCAACTTTAACCTATAAGGAATCATCGAGCGCGATGTCGTGATTGGTGTTTGGTCGAGTCGTCGTGCGCGACCCGGGATGGTTAGGTTCTGTTTCCAGACATCTTAACGGTTTTGGATGTTACTTTAACCAACAATTGCTATATTTAATATTCTGAGATTAGCGTACATAAAATGTACACTAATCCTGCTTCCTCCCTCTCTTCAGGGTCATGAATATCACAGTATAGCTGATTTGTTCATTTGATCGTTAAAACAGTCCCATGAACAAATCGTCACTTGATCAATCATGTTACTTCTCTTCATTTGATCGTTAAAAACAGTCCCATGAACAAATCATCACAACCAGTCCCATGAACAAATCGTCACTTGATCAATCATGTTACTTCTCTTCATTTGATCGTTAAAAACAGTCCCGTGAACAAATCGTCACTTGATCAATCATGTTACTTCTCTTCATTTGATCGTTAAAAACAGTCCCGTGAACAAATTGTCACAACCAGTCCCATGAACAAATCATCCCAACCAGTCCCATGAACAAATCATCACAACCAGTCCCATGAACAAATCGTCACTTGATCAATCATGTTACTTCTCTTCATTTGATCGTTAAAAACAGTCCCATGAAAAAATCGTCACTTGATCACGTTATCGAACGTGTATTTGACCCTTTTAAATACACATATGATTATGTAATCAAAGCGATATATTATTGTATGTGGACTTTGTTATACATATCGAGTAGGAATCCCGATCCACAAGTTACTCAAAGTTCAAAACTTGTAACGGTGCAAGGTGATTAGCTAAACTTAGAATGACGTCACGTTTGATCACATCACACAGGAAATACATTATAGATTTTCTATACTTACCGGATGTGACGTCTTTAAAACGAGGATAGAGTTTTGGAGTTCTACTGTTAGCAGTATATAGATTATGACCGACATGAGTATGCCTAGAACAAGAAGATAGTTATGTTTTATTAACAGTCTTGAAGAGTAATTATTTAATTAATACACAGATTACTCGAATCAATGTTTCAAGAAGAACGTAAATCAAGATAAAAGTAAAGATGTCAACAGTATTTACCTCCATCGACTCAAGTTCGACTCCTCCTGGATTTTGATATTTATGTTCTCGTCAGAATCTGATGAAAGTATAATAAATCACTGAAGATTTAACACAACTATTTTCTATACAAGAATTGCCAACATATTCCAAACAAACATTACTTTTAAATACAAAAAATGACAATATTTTCCAAACTCAACGCATATCGCTTTTAACTCTAAGAAAGTTCCAATGTTTTCCAATAGGAAATTGTTCGTTTTTAATATTTCTCTTGTTTAAACTTACTCAAAGTAAAAAGTTCAGTGCTGTACAAGATAAGAATATGAAGTTACTCTTTACAAAATGATGAAAATACAAAACTATAACACGACCGTTTTCGAAAGTACTTCATCGGGGGCAGACCGGGAGTGACTAAGAAAGATGAAGCGTGAGAACAGGCGGAATGACGTTATGGTTGTCACTATGACAACTCGTGTATTTATTAGCCTGGTAGGATTGTTGCAGGTGTGACTCATTCCCTTTATGTAATACGACAGAGAATGTTAGACATTGTTGTAAGGCTTTTTCTCGTTGGGACGGTTCTTTGTAATTATTTGGTGAAAAGTCCAGTCCACTTAACTATAGCAAGTTACTTTATTTCTTATTTAGCGTTACCTATAGCTTACTTACACGTTTACGTAGTTGTAGGCCTTAGTTCACAAATAACGTTTTTACTTTCAACAATGGTACAAATAAATTTACTTGTACAATTTCAGAGCTAATCAATCGAGTATCAGAATATACTATATAACAAAGACTAATGTGAAACTCCACTAACTTGTAAATCATTGAACGAACTGAAAACTGATCCAATGATCCACTTATTCTCGTATTTATAAGGTAACCTTGTTTCTAGATATTTCTCAAATTCTCTTGATCATTAATATTCACAAGCATTCTAGGTATTCGTTATAAACTTCCTAAATCTAGTGTTAGCAGTTCCTTCTAGCAAACAACGAAATTAAAAAGTTGAAAATACGATAATATAAAGAGTGTAAAAAGAAAAGCTATCCTAGATATGGATGTTTATTGTTGTTGTTGTTTTACCTTTACGTCGGCCATTATTTTTGTAAGCCAATAATTTTTACATCCTGGTGACTGGTTTAATTGGCAACCATGTAAGACGAGCATATTGATAACGGGGATTCAAACTCGCGTCCCTGACCATTACGTCATACCAGGAACATTAGGTTAGGTGTTGATACGAAAATGTTAAGTACATAGAACTAAAAAGATAAAAACCAATGGTAGAAAATTATCACAGATAGATAATAAGTATTAAAAAACCCTAGGAGTTTCAACAATATTCGCCTCTTGCCCAACACTTTAAGTGAAATAATCCTTCCTTAAATACCATTGAACCTAGATCCTGGAATCATTACTAACTAATTCCTTGTCTGACAAATAAGTTTTTCCTTTCTCGTGGGTGATATAAATTCTTATTCTAATACTTATCATTTACTTATGATAATTTCCTATCGTTTTAATTCTCCAGTTCATTGATATGTATTAAAACATCTATATTTCACTTTATTAATACTGTTGCGTCATCGAAGACACGTGACTGGTGTGGCGCCACCTATTTTCTAGAACTATCCTGTACCTTGGCGAATGATCTAGCATTTACTAGATATAGGGTAGTCTGGTATATAAAAGAGGGTGACAACGTGACGGGACAATAATGTGTGAGTAGATAGTGAGTAATTGAACTGCAGTCACAGATTATTGTTGAAGTTAACGTTCGTTCGTTATAGTGTTTGTTTTAGCGCGAATATTGAAATTAAGTGTATCGTAAAGTTGTATTCGGAAAGAATAAACCAGTTTTATTAAGTAAGGACTTGTGTCGCTAAAGTTTCGTCGGAACGAAGTTACGGAAAAATCCATTAACAAACGGAGACGTAACAATACTTTCACTTTTTATTTATTTTGTAACAATACCTCTCTAGCTTCTTTACACCGAACATTCTCGTTTCATGTCCTATTGCATACTGGAAAAATCTAAAACACGTCCAGGTTGTCGTGGTGAAGCCATGACGTCACTCCACCTTTCTCACACTTCACTTTAGTTTGTTTTGTAGTTAAGCGCAAAGCTACACAATGGGCTATCTATGCTCTGCCCACCACGGGTATCGAAACCCGGTTTCTAGCGTTGTAAGTCCGCAGACATACCGCTGTGCCACTGGGGGACTCACTTTAGTTAGTCATTCCCAGTTTGCCCCTGGTGAAAATAAAAAGGTGCACCTTTCGATAGCATTTGGATTATAAATTATAAGGTTTCGTATTTTAGGTTATAAATTATAAGGTTTCGTATTTTGGGTTATAAATTATAAGGTTTCGTATTTTGGGTTATAAATTATAAGGTTTCTATTTTGGGTTATAAATTATAAGGTTTCGTATTTTGGGTTATAAATTATAAGGTTTCGTATTTTGGGTTATAAATTATAAGGTTTCTATTTTTGGGTTATAAATTATAAGGTTTCGTATTCTGGGGTTATAACTTATAAGGTTGCGTATCTTGGGGTTATAAATTATAAGGTTTCGTATTTTGGGGTTATAAATTATAAGGTTTCGAATTCTGGGGTTATAACTTATAAGGTTGCGTATCTTGGGGTTATAAATTATAAGGTTTCGTATTTTGGGTTATAAATTATAAGGTTTCGTATTTTGGGTTATAAATTATAAGGTTTCGTATTTTGGGTTATAAATTATAAGGTTTCGTATTTTGGGTTATAAATTATAAGGTTTCGTATTTTGCGTTATAAATTATAAGGTTTCTATTTTTCGATTATAACTTATAAGGTTTCGTATTTTGGGTTATAACTTATAAGGTTTCGTATTTTCGGTTATAAATTATAAGGTTTCGTATTTTGGTTTATAACTTATAAGGTTTCGTATTTTTGGGTTATAACTTATAAGATTTCCTAGCCTTGGGTTATAAATTATAAGGTTTTCTATCTTTTGTCTTTAATCAATTTTTTGAACCTTCCTAACATTATGGATACTAATTTATCTGTATTGTTACGAACTTACTTTAATTATAATCTATGGGAAAACTCGTGCTAGCCTATGAAACAGTTTTTTGGTTGTTGTATTTCGTACCTGAATGCATAAAGTTTATAAAATGTAAATTCAGTGCCATATATTTAAAGTAATTAAAACGGTAAATGACCTGCCTAGCCTACTTACATATGACGTTAGGTAGGTAGAGTTCTGAATGAATCTGATGGCCGTGCGAGGCGTCTCAATGACTGCGAGGTTAAACCTATTCCACAACACGTGATATTCACCAAACGCTTCTAGTACTAATATCACTTTGAGCTGAATGGTCTGATAAAAAAACCGATCTGGTAAGAGACACCAGATCTAGTGACGCTTTTAGAACCTGGGTATCGGGAGCAACAACTATTAAAACTGAACAGGGTGACGGTACCCGAACTCTAAGTGTCTATAAACAAATTAATAAATTCACATACACAGTACTGTCTGAGATGGAGCTCTGAGCAATGACAGATTCATTCTCCAAATACATGCAATGAAATAGTACTGTCTACACCTATCCCTCCTCCACCCATATAGTGACATTATCCGTACTTCCCCACTACGAATGTTAGGTTATTTTTAAATAGTTTAATCAAATTTAAAAAGCTTCCCACGAACACACACACACACACTTTACTCTTAAATAATGTTGATCCGTTAGTTCTCATGTTGACCATACCCGTTAGTTACGTTGACCCGTTAGTTCTCATGTTGACCATACCCGTTAGTTATGTTGACCCATTAGTTCTCATGTTGACCATATCCGTTAGTTATGTTGATCCGTTAGTTCTCATGTTGACCATACCCGTTAGTTATGTTGACCCGTTAGTTCTCATGTTGACCATACCCGTTAGTTATGTTGATCCGTTAGTTCTCATGTTGACCATACCCGTTAGTTATGTTGACCAGTTAGTTCTCATGTTGACTATACCAGTTAGTTATGTTGACCCGTTAGTTCTCATGTTGACTATACCAGTTAGTTATGTTGACCCGTTACTTCTCATGTTGACCATACCCGTTAGTTATGTTGTTCCGTTAGTTCTCATGTTGACCATACCCGTTAGTTATGTTGACCCGTTAGTTCTCATGTTGACCATACCCGTTAGTTATGTTGATCCGTTAGTTCTCATGTTGACCATACCCGTTAGTTATGGTGACCCGATAGTTTTCATGTTGACCATACCCGTTAGTTATGTTGATCCGTTAGTTCTCATGTTGACCATACCCGTTAGTTATGTTGACCCGTTAGTTCTCATGTTGACCATACCCGTTAGTTATGTTGATCCGTTAGTTCTCATGTTGACCATACCCGTTAGTTATGGTGACCCGATAGTTTTCAT